TATTGGGGATACAGAATATTTAAAGAGTTTCTAATGCAATTTTCCTCTTGTATTTTTAAAATTTTAGTACCTTAAAAGAAGTAAATAATAGGAATTCTTATATAAGTTTCCTACAAATAATAATTTTAAATATAATAATGATAAAAATGAACAATTTATAGAAAAAATTGTTACAGTAACTATCCTAGAAATAGAACATTAACAGATATCTTATAAAGGACAAAAACATTATTGTAAAAAATGAGATATTAAAACTATTTCAATTAAATATTTTAATTATATGAAGCTTATATACAAATATAAAATACCTATACAAACACCTAATAAAGTTCCTTCTATATTGCAATCGCACTCCTCATCTCTTACACTACCACTGTCAAACCAGAAGGTATATTAAATGCACCAACCACAATAATCACCGATAATATGATAATTATCATTGCTCTTTCGATATCTAATGAAATATATCATATGAACATTCTTTTGTTTACAATTAGAAGAAGCTAGATTACTTATTTTAACAATCAAAATATCATTTATTTTCTGTGCTAGCTATCTGCTCCTAACATATTAATGTGTGGTTTTGTTGACCTTATTATTGTACATAATATATTAGTCTTCTACAAAAAAATTCATTGTCACGATTAAAGAGATTACCATTAAAATATATAAGTTTTATCTTTTTTTTTTTAAAATTTAATACTAAATAACATCGTTTGATATTCTCTTGATAAATATACCACAAAAATCATTTCCATACACAATCTTTGCTTTCCTCTTGAAATCGCTTATGAAATCCTTGCACTCCTTCTCAATTCCTTATTTTATTGTAATATTGTCAAAATGTATTCTACTATTAGTCGAACATATCATTATATGACTTTCTTTTGAATTAACTATGTAGGGTAATAATTACAGTACATTTTTTGCTATTTCTGCAGCAAATTGCAAAAAAAAAATTTTGTTTCCATACAAGACAAGCTCGTATATTAATATCATATTCGCGTCTTGATACAGCTGGAATTATTACATTTATTTTCGACTTAGGAATAGAATTTAAGCACATTTAATTTCTGTCTCAAAGTCATACTATTTAAATTATAATTGTCAACCAATTAACAATAAAGTGAAAAAGCATATATTATATAATTATATGAACTCACTTTTGCTTTCATAAAATTTTATACACATTTAGTTTTTTCACAATGATTGCCTCAATTATACATTGCAGCAAACAGTTCCTATTTCTCCACATAACTTGGATGTTTCATTTTATGCACATATTTTATTTTTTCAAATGCCCAAACACCTCTACATAAATATGAACTAAATTTGGATTATTATATTATAAACACTCTTTATCTTAAGCAATTAACAAAAGTAGTTAAACTATATCCTAAACAAACCAACATTGCACTTACAAACAACCATCACCAGTTGTGGCATATTAGTATGAACTATCTACCTTATTACATTAGTATAAAGGTTTTTCAACCTAAGTATTTTCTTTATTAACTTAATCAAATTCATTAAATTAGCAACTCTTCTTTAAAAAACAATTTTATTCTTTTTATCCAATATAGCATTCAGCACACTAAGATATAATTATAACACACTAATGAGAATTTTATTATAACTATATTCTTTATTTTTGCACAAACAATGGCATTCACATTGTTGTATAAATCGTATATTTATCTACTTTAAAATCTAAGTTAAAGAAGTACATGAACAACTAATAAGTTCACAAGATTCTCCAGCAGATTTTTAACAACAGCTTTAGCAGATTTATTAGAAATAAATTTATTTGATTAAGTTGCTACAAAACTTATATTACAAACTTATTAAATCACAATAGAAGATTTAATTACCTTCTGGCTCTATAAAAGCTCATGCATTTCCACTTAAAACACTCTTTGCAGTGGTTGTTATACTTGTTGTACGATTAATCTATGTTTTATCATATCCACATACTTCTCCTGTAATTAAAGCACAAGCAAAGCTTTAGTAGGTCGATTAACTAATCCTGTACAGGCTGAAGTAACAGAAATTAGTCTAATATATGTAAATTGGATTATTTATTTTATTAATTATTATTTAAAATTATATTTAATTTGTTTCTCTACATCCTTAACTTGTTCATTTGCTAGCTACTTTATGATCTATTATATCCAAACAACCTTTTTAATTTAATTTATCTATTACCTATAAATTAAAACCATCCTAAAAGTAAATTCATTTATTTTAATTATTCAAATTATGTTTAATTTTTAATAAAATTAACATTCTAACACATTTTAACTTCTTTACTCCATTAAAATATATTACTTTACAAACCACCAATTCTATTCAATCCTCAAATAGTACATATATTGTTTCATCTTTGGGTAAAAATTAATATAAAATAATTGTAAATAAAAATAATTTTAATGTTTTTAAGCCTTATCAATTCTTCTTTGCTTGTTTATCTATATTACTTTTCAAAAAGTAACTTCCTTTACATTTCAATAATGATTATAAATCATAACCTTGATGATTGACAAATTCTCCTTTTAAAATTAAGGCTCCTTAAGCTTCAAGTGTCAATTATTAAGAAATAATTAGAAAAGGATAATAAGTCACTAGATAAATGAAAAACAAATACCAGTATCTGGAAGCCGACTGTTTTAAAATATAGAAGGTTTTAATTTTTCTAGAATTTCTTTATGCCTTTTATCTGAAGGTTATTTTTGATATGCTGTCTTAACATCCCAAAAACGGATTGAGTTATCACCGCTACCAGATGCTAAAGTAGTTCCATCTCGAGAGAAACCTACTGAGTAGACAGTACTAGAATGACCATCCAATTTGGCTTTTTATTATCTTGTCTTCGCATCCCATAAACGTATTGAGTTATCACCGCTCCCTGAAGCTAAAGTAGTTCCATCTGGTGAAAAGCATATTGATTGAACCCATTAGCTATGACCATTTAAGTTTGCTATTTATTATCCTGTCTTAACATCCCATAAACGTATTGAGTTATCACCGCTCCCTGAAGCTAAAGTAGTTCCATCTGGTTAAAAGCATACTGAGTAAACAGTACTAGTATGACCATCTAATTTTGCTATTTATTATCCTGTCTTAACATCCCATAAACGTATTGAGTTATCACAGCTACCTGAAGCTAAAGTAATTCCATCTGGTGAGAAACATACTGAGTAAACAGTACTAGTATGACCATCTAATTTTGCTTTTTATTATCCTGTCTTTACATCCCATAAAAGGATTGACTAATCATCACTACTTGATGCCAAAGTAGTTCCATCTGGGGAAAAACATACTGAGTAGACAGTACTAGAATGACCATTCAATTTTACTTTTTATTCTCCTTTCTTAACATCACATAAAAGTATTGACTAATCATCACTACCTGAAGCTATAAAAGTTCCATCTGATGAGAAGCATACTGAGTTGACTGTACTAGTATGACCATCAAATTTTACTTTTTATAACCCTGACTTAGCATCCCATAAACGGATTGAGTAATCATCACTACCTGAAGCTAAAGTAGTTCCATCTGGGGAGAAGCATACTGAGTAGACACAATATTCATGACCATCTAATTTGGCTTTTTATTATCCTGTCTTCACATCCCATATACGAATTTAACAATCATCACTACATGAAGCTAAAGTAGTTCCATCTGGTGAAAAGCATACTGAGTAGATAGTACTAGTATGACCATCAAATTTGCTTTTTTATTATCCTGTCTTAACATCCCATAAACGTATTGAGTTATCACCACTCCCTGAAGCTAAAGTAGTTCCATCTGGTGAAAAGCATACTGAGTAGAGAGTACTAGTATGACCATCAAATTTGCTTTTTTATTATCCTGTCTTAACATCCCATAAACGTATTGAGTTATCACCACTCCCTGAAGCTAAAGTAGTTTCATCTGGTGAAAAGCATACTGAGTAGACAGTACTTGTATGACCTTCCAATTTGGCTTTTTATTATCCTGTTTTTACATCCCATAAACGGATTGACTTATCCCAACTACCTGAAGCTAAAGTAGATCCATATGGTGAGAAGCATATTGAACAAACCGTACTAGTATGACCTTCCAATTGGGCTTTTTATTTCCCTGTTTTAACATCCCATAAACGGATTGACTAATCATCGCTACCTGAAGCCAAAGT